AAGAAAGAATATAGAAACAAGGTACTGAGTAGAAGGTTACATGTGGGAAAAGAAAGTTTGTTTTGCATTGCATTCTTTCTGCTGACATGAGGTTTATGGAGTATAAATAAAGTGAGGCGGAGGCTCTGAGTGCGGCCGCCATGTTCTCTGTGTGTCTTTGTCTTTGTGTGTGTTCTTTCATTCTCCACCATCCCGGGTGCGGCCCCCAACAAGTGGCGCAGCGAGCAGGGTCAGCACGGGTGAGTAGGGGAGAACAAGAAGGGGAACCCCCTAGGAGCGGGTAAGGCTCAGATATTGTTAAGGGGAACCTTCTTAAGCTTTCATTATGGGAATTCCATCTCTCTGGCCTCAGAATATTTATGGCTGTTTCAAGGACTGTTGCTGTCTATGGGAGTAGAAGTGAAAGAAAAAGACTTTGAAGCGATTGTTTGCCCATGTTGAATAACATTGTTACTGGTTTCAGTATCAGACTAAAGTGCAGCTGAATCGGAAAAAAATGGTTACAGGTAGTAAAAGCTTTGCTTAGAGCTCTCCAGTTAGGGGATAGTATGCCTCTAAAATTGGGGACCTTGTGTAACTCTATCACTCAGACATTAGAGTTACTTGAGACTGATTTGGAGTGTGGTAATGTAGCCACAGGAGGAAAGGTATCTGAGGATTTGGAAAAATAAAATAAAATAAAATAAATCTGAAATGGAGCCTATTTGTGCCAGGGTAGCAAAAGGGGGAGAAGAGAAAAAGCCACCTCTTCCTTCTTCTAAGGGAAATTCTGACATGCAGTGTATTATGGAAATGCTTCAACAAATATTACAGATACATTCTTCTAATTCACCTTTGTGAGCTTTCCCTGTTTCTTTTCCTTCTGCCCTGTTAAAAGAGGATTTTCCAGTGCCTCCAACCCCCCGGCTTCCTTATCTTTACCTTTGTTTGGCAACGTTTTCTCAGTGCCTTGCCCGCCATTGGGGGAGGGAGAAAAGGAAAATAAAAGAAAAAAAAAAAAAAATTTAAGGAGCTGGATCTGTTTCCAATTATTTGTGCTTCTTTTGCTCCTAATGCTTAGTTTTCAAATGGTGGCAGTAATGTCCAATTTAATGCCTTACAAATTAAATGTTTAAAAGAAATGAAAGCTGCCATTTCTAACTATGCCCTATCCTTGGTCTTCTTGATATTTTTTCATCAGAAAATATGATAATTTCTATAGACTGGAAGACTTTGGGGAAGGCTTTTCTTGATCGTTCTCAGTGGTTACAATTGCACAGCTGGTAAATGAACAAGGCACATGTACAGGCTAGAAAAAATGTTATGTGTGATCCCCCAGGAGCCACTGAAGAACAACTCACAGGCACGGGCCAATATGCTACTCTTAGTGCTCAGGCTGGTCTAGAAGATGTCGCCCTTACTCAAATCAAGACTTTGTTTTTAAGGGCCTAAAATAAGGTAGAGATAACAGGAAAATCTTCCCTTTCCTCTGTGAAGATTTTACTGGGCACAAATGAACAATATTCAGATTTCGTAGCCCGTCTTCAGGATGCTGTCTTGAAAATTGGGGGTGCTGACCTTGCTTCAAAAATTTTGTTACAAACGTTGTCTTTTAAAAATGCTTATGCTGACTGTCAAAAATTGTTAAAATCATTAAAGGCCAATGGGGCCAATTTAGATAAATATATTAAAACTTGTGTTAGTGTTGGAGGGGCTATTTATAATGCTCAATTATTTGCTGGAGTTTTGTCTAAAGCCTTAAAAGGAAATAACAAACAAGGTGTTTGCTTCCAGTGTGGTAAACCTAGACATTTCAAAAAAGAATGTCATAAAAATTGAACACTTTTATCCCTCAAGGCAGAAAGCTGCCTTCAGAGGTGTACAAATGTTGTGGTAAAGGTCGACATTGGACAAATAAATGTCATTTCAAAACTGATAAAAGTGGAAATTTACTGTCTCCTCTCCTGGGAAATGGGAGCTGGGGCCCACAGGCTTGGGGCCCCAACAATTTATGTCACCAGGTCTGAAAGTGTAGTTGGTTTATCAGTCTTTACAAATGAGAAATATAAGAAAGGAAAAGAATGCACAAACTAACTAGGTTTCTTGTAATAAATCACTAAACTAGTCAAAGGACCCAAAAATACAAGATCAGCATGACTCTGAAGGATGTGAGATTATGGTTCTGCACTTGTTACATTAAAGAGCTAAAATTAATAGACGTAATATTAACAATAATAACAGTAATAATAGCCATAGTATACTGAGTACTTACTATGTGTCTACTACTGTGAAAAAATCTTCACTTGCATTTAGTTCTTCCAACATCCCTTTAAGACTGACAAATTTTATAATTATTACCATTTTGTAGACAGGAAAACAGAGTTAAGACAGTTTTATAAATGTATCCAAGGTCATATAGCTATTATATTTTGAAAATATGACTTTCTGTCCCCAGAGCTTACATGCTTAACCCTTTCCTCTAGACTGCTCTATAAAGTACAAAAATGGTAGTCACTCTCCTTGGAATAATCGGAGGAAAGAAAAATCAATAACTAAGTAAAATTTGTATCTCAGCACCAGATCCAATCCCAATTTCAAGTATCTATTTAGCCTTGGATAGCATCACTGTGTTTTGAAAACCAAAATCCGTTGAGTATTTTGTGGTCACCATTTTTTTACAAAGCAGATACTCTATTGAATAGTAAGCTGTGAACTGAATTTCTGTACCTGTAATCACCTTATTTGTTTACAAATATTTGTTATTGACTAAATCTGCATACAATATCCAGTGAGCAATGGCCTACAACATCAAGGAATAAATTCAAGTCCTCCTTTAAGGATCCCACACCTTACCCCAGTTTCTCAGCTTTATGTGGCAACTAAGCAGAGCGCCGCTGCTGACTTAGTTATTACTCAGCCTTATACTTTGTCTCCTAATAGAGGAGTATATAAATTAGCTATTAGAGAGACATGATGTTACTAATAAAATTCTTATTATGGTTCAAGTCTCACAATTTATATGCCTAGAGGCAGGGGAACGTATTCTCAATAGGGAGGGTTTGGTAGCACAGAAAAAACTGTTTTTTGGGAAACTTTAGTTTCTAATCAAAAGCCCTTATGTTCATTGCACATTAATGACATAGTTTTTAAAGGGTTGATTGATACGGTGGTGAATATGTCTATTATTTGTTTAAATTAGAGGCCTATACAATAGGAAAAAAGACAAGTTTCAGTTATACTCACTGGCTTGGGTGCTGCTTCTGTGGTTTATCAAGACGTAGAACCTTTAACCTGTGTCGGTCCTAAAGGTTAACAAGGTCAAGTGTTTTTTTTTATTTTTATATTGTTCCTATCAATATTAATTTTTGGGAACAAGATCTTTCACAACAATTTGCTGCTTTTTTAAACATTCCTCATATTTCCTCAGCTGCCAAAAATATGATGTTCAAAATGGGCTACAATCCTTTAAACTCATAGCCACCACTCCTATTTATGTGAAACAGTGACCATTATTTAAAGAAATACTTAGGACTCTAAAAGAGTAAGTCAAAAAACAAATGGCCGAGAGGAATATAAAGCCACGTATTTCTGCATGGAATTCCTGTCTTTGTCTTGTCTTAAAACTATAAATGTTTACATTAAACCTAGGGAAAGTTTACAGCCTGGTCTTCCTAATCCTGCCCTTATCCCACAAAGTTAAAAATTAATGGTCATAGATCTCAAAAATTGTTTTTTCTCTATTCAGTTACAACATCTTTTTTCTATTCTAGAAGGAGACAGTCACTTGGACAGCTCACGTCATTTAACTCCTTTGGCTTTACAGGAACTCCAGCTTGTGGAAGAACAACTTCAAAAGGCTCATTTACATTATATCCTTCCCGATGTTCCCCTTTCCCTTTGTTTATTTCATACTTTACATTCTCCTACAGGAATGATTCATCAGACCAATCGGCCGCTAGAATGGATCTTTTTGTCCAATCAAACATCTAAACGCTTGGCTACTTATATTGATTGTTTAGCTGAACTGATCATCAAAGGACGGCATCACTGTCGACAACTTTGGGGAGGAGATCCTTCCTTAATTATCTCTCAATTCACTCATAGTCAGATCATTTATCTTCTTGCAACTTCTGATTCTTGGCAAGAAGCTTCATCAATCTTGAGTTACAGTTTATCCTTATCCCTCGGTGCAACAGGGAGAATTGTTTGCTATTCTCATGGTCTTACTTGATTTCCCTACTACTGGTTGTAATATTGTTAGTGATTCTCAATATGCCGTTTATGTTACTTCTTATATTTCTCAGGCCACTTTACCTCTTTGTGCTACTTCTTCTCTTCAAAAACTCTTTTCCTTGTTATTTTCTACTTTGAGCCAACGTCGAGCTCCTTTATTCATCACTCATCTTCGTTCTCATTCTCAAATGCCTGGACCCTTAGTTCATGGTAATACTCATATTGATTCACTTCTAATTGGCCACTTGCAGGCTGCAGAACAAGAACATGCTCTACATCACACTAATAGTTCTGGTCTTCAACGACGGTTTCATTTAACTCATAAATAAGCTCGTTCTCTTGTCCTTTCTGTGCTCCTTTGAGCATTCCATCCTTCCATCCTGGAGTTAACCCGAGAGGTACTCAAGTTAATCAAATTGGGCAAATGGATGTTATACATATTCCTTCTTTTGGACGATTAAAGTATGTTCATCATACCATTGATACTTTTTCTCATTTTCAATGGGCCACTCCGTTGCCATTTGAGAAAGCTGATTCTGTTATTACACATCTCTTAGCTTGTTTTGCCATTATGGGCATTCCTTTTATACTTAAAACTGATAATGCCCCTGCCTATGTCTCTCATAAATTACAAGTTTTCTTACAGCAATACAATATTCCACATATCACCGGGATCCCGGGCAACAGTCAAGGTCAAGCCATCATTGAACGTGCAAATTTAACTTTAAAAACTCAACTATTAAAACAAAAAGGGGGAAATGAGCCCCCCAAAAAAACCAGATTTTTTTGAAGGTTAACCTTTCTACCTTAATTTTTTTGATTTTGAAGGTTCTTTTTACCTTAATTATTTTTTGAATCAATGGAGACCATTGCAAGACTCCGCTGTCGTAACCCATCTTTCCTCACCTCCCTCGGTGATAGTCCCCGCTGACAATTTAAAGATTTGGTATCCTAATGAAGAAGGTAAGTATGTTCAAGGGCAAGTTCTAAAACAGGAACGGGGCTATGCTCTTTTCCTTACAGGGAGCGGACCTAAGTGGTTTCCTACAAGATAATTGAAACCCTGTTGAAAAGAAAACTGGATTCAGCATGCATTTCTTCCTTTGTTGGATGTGCCTCGGCGGGGGACTTATTTCTCTTAGTGAGGCTTTGTATGAATATTGCACTTATATTCCCTTTCCACCCTTGTATCAGGGAGTCGCCTGGGGAGAGGCGGAAATTAAGGTTTTCACCAATGACACTACTTGAATGCCGTCCCCCTATATAAACAAGGACAATATAGAACGGGAAACGGAAATTATAAACAACACATATCAATTTGGAGTGGAAGAACTTCCAATATGCATGGGAAATAGTTCTCATTGTCTCCGAAAATCGTATGAAGCCTGGGTTGTTCGCTATAATCATAGTTATGTGGCTGCTAATACTGTTATTATAATCATACTGTATATAGTAAAGAAACTATTCCTAGTTCTTTACCTTTTTGTCCTATTCCAGAGGTTTCTCCTAATATTGAGGTGCTGGAGTGGCAACTATGTCGGGGAAATAAAACCCGGATTTTATTAGAATACAATGGGATGCAAATAACTGATTGAAGTGTGCATGGTGATTTTCAAATAAAATTTAGTCACATACCTTTGAAATGGCACCGGGTAAATAAAAGTATTGCTGCTAACAATAATGAAACCTTGGTATGGTGTGAAGGAGGCCTAAGTACAGAGTCATCTTTGGAAGTTGTTAGCTGCAGGCGATGCCATTAGCACTTTTGTGGGGAATATGTCTCTTAATCTTTCTAACCCAACTAATTCCTTTCATATTCAGTTATATAGGAATACCTCTCAATATATTATTGCTTGTGTCCGTAAGCCCTATCTATTATTAGCAGGGAATTTGATATGGGATAATAATACGGGAATTGTTAATTGTACAAATACGTGTACATTTTTGTCTTGCCTCAATCATTCCTGGTGGCACAACTTTGCTGGGGATATTTATATCCTCAGGGCTCATAAGGAAATTTATCTACCTGTTAATCTTATGCGACCGTGGGGGGCATCACCTCTTGAAACTTATATTTGGACTTCTCTTCAGTGAACCCGCTGTGCACTTGGACTTATAATTGCCTCGTTGATGAGTCTTGTTGCCATCGCCTCCACTGCGGCCGTAGCAGGGCTCGCTCTTCATCAAAGCATACAAAATGCTGAATTTGTGCAGCAATGGCATGAACAATCTCACCGGTTATGGCTTCAACAACAAAACATTGATTCTCAACTTGCTGAAAGATTGGACAATATGGAGCAAGCGTTGACATGGCTTGGAGATCAGCTCACTGTACTCAGTACTCGGGTAACATTACAATGTGATTGGAATTCCACTCAATTTTGTGTAACGCCTCTGCCTTTTAACATCTCTCAAAATTGGACTGTAATCCGAAAATTATTAATTGGCCATAAAAATATTAGTTTGGACATTCAAGAGCTCACTCAGAACATTTCCGAAGCATTTCGACAACAATTACATGTGCTGTCTGGAACTGTAACCTTGCAGGAGCTGGGGCAACGCCTTGCTGCCTTTAACCCATGGACTCAGATAAAAACATGGATTTCTACAATCTCTGGAAGTATATTGCTTTGGGCACTTGGTTTGGGTCTACTTCTTTTGGTGATTCGATGCTCCCTCTGTCGCTACCAAAAACAAAAGAAAACACAGGAACAAATATGGGCTACCTTTTTAGGATTGAGGCAAAACAAAGGGGGGAAATGCAGGGGCCTTTGAAAACAGTATGCTGAGAATAGATAGGGCTCAAGGACAGTATCTCCAACTGAACTTTTAATGAACTCCCGTAGGCGCCAAGAAGGCGGGTAAATAAGAAAGAATATAGAAACAAGGTACTGAGTAGAAGGTTACATGTGAGAAAAGAAAGTTTGTTTTGCATTGCATTCTTTCTGCTGACGTGAGGTTTATGGAGTATAAATAAAGTGAGGCGGAGGCTCTGAGTGCGGCCGCCATGTTCTCTGTGTGTCTTTGTCTTTGTGTGTGTTCTTTCATTCTCCACCACCCCCGGTGCGGCCCCCAACAAGAAACTGCACAACACAGTTTGTTTGATTTGTAAAAAAGTTGTGTGCATCTCTCCTCAATTCCCTGGCTATTTCTCTATAAAAGTATCTTAAATTAGCCCAGGGCAGTGGCTCATGCACGTAATCCCAGCACTTTGGGAGGCTGAGGAGGGCAGATCACGAGGTCAGTAGTTCTAGACCAGCCTGGCCAACATGATGAAGTCCCATCTCTACTAAAAATACAAAAATTAACTAGGGGTGGTGGTGCACGCCTGTAGCTACTTGGGAGGCTGAGGCAGGAGAATCGAAAGTACCTTAAATTTTATTTAGATTGTTACTTTTTATATCATTATATAACTCATATGAGGATAACCGGGTGATTAACATTTTTATTTTTTATCTAAAATGGATGATTCATCATTTCTAGATGCTTTGTTTATAATGTATCTATCATTAATTCACCTAAACTTTTTTTTTTAGCAGAAATCCCCTCTGAATACATTAAATATGTTAGACAGATGTTTGTTTATCTTTCTGTACCCTTCCTCTCTTCCTTCCTTCCTTCCTTGCTTTCTTTCCCTTCTTTTCTATGTCTTCCTGTACAAATCCACTGCTGCTCTCAAGGATTTTTGCAATTCTGTCATATTGTCACGTTCTTTCATCATTATATCAGGAATTGTCTTTTCTTCATTTCAGGGTTAGTTTCACACTCCCTGTAATGCCTCTTCTTTGATGTGTTTCTTAGTTACGTAAAAACATATACTTTGGTAAATTCCTGAGAAAGAGTGTATGGGGGTTAAAAGATTTTGGAAACTTTTCATTATTTTTTATAATTAAGGAGATCTTTACTCTCTTTTAACTCTCAATCAATAATGTGTAAAAAAATGATATCACTTTGCAGCATTTCTCCATTGTCTCTTACTTTCTAGAATTACAAGAACATATTTGATGTTATACAAAATTCTATATGTTTTCTCCTCACTTTTTGTATTAGAGCACTATAGAAAAACAGAACAAAAAAGGTATAGATGTATTGAAAGAGATTTTTTTATGAGGCATGAACTTAACACAATTATGGAGTCTGAGAAGTTAAAAGGATAATTTCATAATATGAATATGGTATGAGCTAACCACATTGTATGGTGTTTTGTCACAGTCATTTGAACTACAGCAACTCCACCTTGAATAAGATCTGGGTAAAATGAGGCTGAGACCTACTGGGCTGCATTCTAATTCATAGGATTAATAGGAAGTCTGCACAAGATACAGGTCATAAAGATCTTGCTGATGAAACAGGCTACAGTAAAGAAGCTGGCTAAAACCCATCAATTCATGCTAAGAGACACTCCCACCAACACAATGACAGTTTATATATGCCATGGCAAGGTCAGGAAGTTAAGCTATATGGTCTAAAAAGAGGAGGAACCCACAGTTCTAATAATTGCCTACCCTTTTCCTGGAAGATTCATGAATAGGCTGGGTGCGGTGGCTCATGCCTACAATCCCAGCACTCTGGGAGGCCGAAGAGGGTGCATCACCTGAGGTCAGGAGTTTGAGACCAGCCTAGCCAACATGGTGAAACCCTGTCTCTACTAAAAATACAAAAATTAGCCGGGCATGGTGGCACATGCCTGTAATCCTAGCTACTCCGGAGGCTGAGGCAGGAGAATCGCTTTAACCAGGGAGGCAGAGGTTGTGGTGAGCTGAGATCATACCACTGCACTCCAGCCTGGGTGACAGAGCAAGATTCTGTCACACACACGTGCGCGCACACACACACACACAATAAAAAAAGAAAAGAAAAGAAAAGAAAATTTATCATCCAACTTTTGTTTAGCGTATAATCAGGAAATAACTATAAAAATGGGCAACCAGCAGCCCTGGTAGCTGTTCTGCCTTTGGAGTAGCCATTCTTTTATTCGGTTACTTTCTGAATAAACTTGCTTTCACTTTACTCTGTGGACTTGCCCCGAATTTTTTCTTGCTTGAGATCCAAAAACCCTCTCTTGGGGTCTGGTTTGAGACCCCTTTCTGTTAAAAGTTTTACTGCTCAATTAATTACACAGATTACAGATTTACTTATACAATATTCACTTTTTAAAGTAAATAAAAATGTATATATATTAATATTTAGTATTTAAATGTAATATTTAAAATAATTATAATATAATTATTTTATTTATCTTCTTTAATATATTTTTGCAAAGTCAAGAACTTATAAATAAAAATAGATAAGACAAGTAATAAATTTTAAGTGGATATTAAAAAAACTAGGTGTTCAAATGACAAAAAAGTATTTTCTAGTTTATTTTATAATGTGGACTCATATTAACTTAAAAGTTACATATTTTATATCTTAAGCGTTCATGACTGTACTGTCAAGAAAAAAGTTAAGGATGGAGTAATCTTGTTTACTCACTAAGTTTACAAATCATAACAAAAATATTAATGAAAGCTTAACACTAACTTTACAAACTACCCAATGCATAAGGTCAAGCATTCATGCGTGACTTGCTTTCGTTTGGAGGCTATTTTAAACCTCAAGATCTTATTTTTTATTTACCCTATTTGAATCTGATACTTTGCATTTTCAGATAAATATTGCATACTATGATTTTATGCTTTCATTTATAAATAATTCCTCTTTTCAATTTAAAAACAATTGGGCAAGATATCCAAATTCATAATTAGACACTTTGTGTGTGTGTGTATATATGTGTATATAGATATATACATACATATGTATCTCCAAATTTGTTAGTCATTATTTTTATAATATTTAATTTAGTAGTAATATTTAAAGAGATAAAAGTATTTTAGAATTACCTAATCCATAGCATCTGAACTACGGAATATGAATAATGACCAAATTTTGTAACAACACCAATTTTATCTAACTTATTTTAA